CCGTGCCTGGGGATGCACCAGGGCACCAGCCCCTCCTCCGGCACCATCCCCAGCCCTCGCACCCCGGTGCCCTCGCACCCCGTCTCTCCCCAGGCGCCACCCTCCCCGGCTGCTCACGCAGGGCCGTGGCTGGCCTACCCTAAAACTGCATCTGAAATCAAACAACAGGCATTGTGGACATCCACAGTGGCGGCAGTCATCATTTGGCAGAGTCCCATCCGTGTAGCACCCCAGCATGTCAGAAACGAGATAAATCCAGGACACGCTCAACATCTTGCTCAGGCGGTTAAGCGTTTAACGATCTCCGTTAAGCACTAACGACAGATGAGCCTCCCCTTCGGTGCTGCGCACCACCAGCACCCCTCCGCAGCACCCTGCACCCAGGGCTTTCCACACGCGCCAGAAGCGTCACTTACGCAAGCCTCAACTAACAGTGAGGTAGGTCAAAGACTCCCCGGACAGGGAAACTGAGGCACACGATTACACAGTTTGCAGGTGTCACACAACAAGTGGTAGTGCCAGAAACATCTTCTCACCCCTCCCCGGCACTCCTGACACAACAGCTTTTCGTCCTCTTAGTGGGGCCAAATGAAGTTGACCTTTTCAGCGAGATAAACACACACAGCTTAGAAATGTCCGTTTTAAGTCTAATCAATCTCAAAGATGAAAAGACAAATGCGTTAAGGTTTCTTGCCTCGCAAACTCTCCAAGAGCTGCGCTCAGCCCAGCTGACGCAGCTTTAGCTCTAGTGCTTCCACAGCTCCCTTCGGTCTCACAGCCACAAACTGAGGTTCATTTGCATGGGAAAACTGGTGAAAAAACAGTTTCGGTGACCCCAGCAGGGCAGCAAAGCACCGTGGCAAGGCTAGGCGGGACAGCAACCCGCATATTCCAACCTAAGCTCGGGCTGGTTTCCGACACAGTTGCCCCCGGACCCCTAACGCACCTGCCGCGCTGAAAAGCACAACCAGGTGTCAATGGTGGTAGCGCTGTAGCACTCTGGAGAAGCAATTCCAAACAGCGCTCCCTGGGCTGCTTCGGCTGTTACCACAGAACACCATCGGGTATTTCGACGTAGTGTTTCACCCTCCATAGCACCCTCCAGCCAGAGACCTAAAAGTCCTTTAGCAAACGTGAACTAAGCCTCACAATAACCTCACAAATCCAGGCTAAACTGCCCCCATTTTACAGATGGGGAAACTGAGGCACAGTAAGGTTTAGTGACTGGCCCAAAGTTACACAGCTGGTCAGGAACAGAGTCTGTCTCTCCCAATTTCTCCTCCTTAGTCACAAGACCTTTGTTCCACAGGAGAAAAGGAACCCCTTCCCCAATTAGCCCTGCTCTGGTTTCAGGTGGCTGAAGAGGAGAAACAGGGTGAAGGTCTGAGCTCTTCCCCCCTGCAGCATCATATTAAGACTCACTAGAACATCCTGGAAGCTGGGCTTTGGGAGAACGGCAGGTGATTCAAATACAGCAGTTTACAGGTTACAATAAAAACCAAAACACACACTTTTAGGTGACCCAGAGGAAGGGGGGGGAAGCTATTCACAGTTCACCTGCCTGTGCTAGGGGAGAAAAAAAAAAATACAAGTCACATTCCCTTCCCCATAGATTCCAGCCCCTCCCAACCCACAATAAAAAGAAAATATTGAATGTTAGTTAGGCTTAACAAAGCGTTGAGGTTACAGATGCAATAAACCAGCACAACTGGCATACTGCCTAGAACAGCACAGCTTGATATAAAAGTTGCTTTCTTAAAATCACTTCAAAACCAATTTCTGTATAAGAGGATTAAAAGTAAATTAGATATGAATTCAAAATCAGTGTAGAAATCTACAGTTCTTATCAAAGACAGGATACAGTATTCACTTTGATAGTAAAACTCCAAGTGTGTCACACACACCTGACCCAAGGGACTTGTTATACCAGTAACAGTCAATATAAAAGGTTATTGCTCTAGCATCTCTCAGTAGAACATGTTTAACGAGCACAGAAAAGGGAAATACCAAGGGGCTGACAGGTCTCATCAGCAAAGAGAGGAAGAAGAAAGGATATAAAGTTTGGATCTTTTTTTTTTTCCTGGCTTCTTAAGCCCCTCCACTTCTCCCCGCTCTTGTGACAGTTTCAGGCCCCAATAGATGGGAGAGTTTCAGGCCAGATAAACACACACACGCCACACTCGCTCATGACAGGGATGGGTGAAAAAGGCTGTGCTCTAACCTCTCTGCACCTGCTTTTAAAGAAGGGACAGTGCCTCTTCCTCTCTCCCGGGAGCAGCAGGCAAGGGGAGCAGATGCCCTGAGCAGGCCTGGGGTGCTGACGGAGGTGCCTGGCATAGGATGTGACCCACAGGAGCGCACGTCAGCACTGAGGGATGGCTGGGGCTTACTCCACCTCCTGCTCCAGTGTGTTGAGAAAAGGCAGGGAATAACAAACTAGGAAAAAAAAAAACCACACCCCACACAGTAACACCTTGATTCCTCTTAAAAAAAAAAAAAATTAAGTGGTATCATCTCCTTACAGTGTAATGGAACTGGAGAGACCCTTGCAGGGTCTTGGCTGCCTGCGCTGACGCTCTGGTCTCAGTAAGTCACACACACCACGTGGCTCTAGTGAGCGAAGCCAGGGTGGCACTGAGATCACAGGGTGCCCTCGCTGTGCCATTGCTCAGGCTGCAGGCGTGCAGACAAAAGGCTGAGAAAGGAGGTGTCAAAGCAGAGGGCTGCGTTGTCTGCAAGTGTCACGATTTGCTCAGAGAGCTGATGCAGGCTGAAACGTACTGGCAAAGACTCCTTCTGCCAGGAGGGGGCTGGGTAAAATCTCCCTGTTGGAGCCCTGGAGCTAAGCTCAGCTGTCAGTCACACACACAGACACGCACACCGTAATGAGGGGACTCGGCCTCTCTCTACCGAGACACAGCAAGGGCATTTCCAGTTTAAGGGTCCATCTCATCTCTGGATCTGCTGCCTCTCCATAGCAGCAGAAAGCACTCCCGCCCCACCCCCGCCCCACCC